TACCCCTGATCTACTAGTTTGACCTATGTAGTTGACTTAACTCATAGTCATTGCAAGGTATTTTGTTAATTATGTAATGTTGACTAGTTGGGTCAACCAATGGGTTCCTTTAGCCTACAGAGCTTGTCCTACCTGAGTGAGTTTCTAGGTTTGAATGCCACCCTAATTTCTGCTTTATTGAGAACCTTATGTAGGGAGTGTCTCAGATGTCCCTTCCCTATATGGTTAAACTGTAAATGTCGTATATTCTTTCTTATTTATGTTATCATTATTAGTTCCACCATTGTTTTTATTTTCCTCTTGACCTTTTTGACATTCCTGATGAATTTTTTAGGATAGTTATTTAACACCAAGCAACTATTCTTCTTCTATCTGTTTCATCACCTTTGTCAAAGATCTCAAGTGGAATACTTCGGTTATAACAGTCTCATTATCTGGGTTTAGAGTGAAATTATAGGTCTTCATGGTGTGATGTTTCATTTGATAATGTGTTAATTTTACGTGGCGAAGTTGGTAGTCTCATTTTCAACCTCACCTCTTTCTGTGTCATACTGTCGGCTAGTAGAATAGGTGAGGCATGGCAGTACCTGATTCAGAGATCGAACTCGGATCTTCTGCTTCATGGTTGATGAGAATTTTACCAGTGAACCACTGACGTAAACAATTTTCGCTGTATAGCATAGTTATAACTAAATGTCACCACTAGTGACAATATTCTTGTCCTTTGTTCCGTCTACATAGTTGACATTTAATGTATATTTATGATATTTGATTGTAAATTAAATGGCACTAAGGGAATACTAATCAATACTACAAAAAACCAATCACAAATGAATATGTTTGGTGTAGTGGGTAAGGTTTATATTTATTGCTTACAAGGTTGAATATTGAATTAAACTGTGTTGTTTAAATGAACTCTTCGCAACATATATATATATATATACTGTAAGAAAAAATAAGCGGGAAAATACAATTTGAAATATTTAGAATCTAAACGAAAATGTTTGTATGTGTGTGGGGGGGCGGTTTAAATACTGATAATTTTGTTTTTCTGTAGATGCAAAACGAGAAAACTTTGTTTTTCTGCAAAAAACATTATTATCACTATGATTCATCATTTATAACAAAAATAATTTACTGAGGTTTGAAAATATGGACTACTTTAGGTTTCCCGCCTAGCTACTCTTTGATTGGTCATTGAGGCATATCCATGCTTCTGTTATCAAGCCATCAGTTGTATAAATAAATGAAGGTGATTCTTATTAAACTTTTAGTGTTGAGCCTTAGAGGTTCAGTAGTGGAGTGCTTACCAATCACACGCCTGTTCCACAGTTCGATTCCTGACTGACGCACTCTCGTAAAGCTCGCATAGCAGATAATAAGGTCGTTAAAGTGGGAAGGTTGGTCGTGTAGATAGCGACATTGAAACAGTTTGGTTCCTCTATATAGAGAAATTGTGTATACCTTATCTTTAACCCACCATTTGCACAGATCTTCCATGTTGTGCCTGCTACTTCTGGCCTTCCTTCATATTAGGTTTCTTTGTGTTCCTTTCAAATCTTCCAAGTATCTTCAGAACGTTGAATTATCTACTTTCTCTGATATTAAATTTATCTCCCTGCTATTTGATGTATTCTGCTGACGAACATCTCTCTGTATACATACTACTGATATATTTTATCAGTAGCACACGCTGCTATAACACTGGTACTGATATATCACAGTGCTCAAGTTTTGAAGCCCATCACCTCACTCAGAACACAAAAGAAGAAATAAAGCCTTTACGCATTTTTACTTTACGCAATTCTACTAATGTGTATTGCATACACAATTTATAAACTAAATTAACTAATTAATTAATTAATTTACAAGCCAATTAATAAATTAATTAACTGTCCTCATGCATTTACTAATGACTCATGTCCTGTCGTATTTTTTATATATTTAATAGTGGTCTCTTTAATAATTTTGATAGGAATGTTGTGTCACTTTAAAATCATATACCGGCCGATCGATTCAATCATCGGGTTACCTGATTTCCTCCTTATACAAAGATGCGTCAAATTTACTCTATGTCAATTTTTTTTAACCATGCAATCAATTACATTGCTGAAGAACAATCTTCATCATTATTTCCCTGAGTTATCGGAGGTCTCTTTGAACTGATTCCACGATCGTCTATTAGCTTTTACTTCTTATCCAGGCAATTTCTTCCATGTCACCATCGAAGGGATATCTAAACCATCGCCTCGCATTCGAATTTCATTCAACACCTTAGCTAGTACATGGTGATACTTGATAGCTTCTTCAATGTATGTTCAGTACACCTCCATTCCTTTTTTCATGTTTGTTGAGTAATAGACTCTTCTTTGATTCATGGCCAGGCGCTAGGCTGATGGAAATTCTTTCCATGACGTAAAGAGTGCTTAAAGAAAACGTATTTTAAATATGTATTCCGATTTCTGTATTTGTAGGAACGCAAATTATATCAGTGTGAATTGCGTTACGAAAGGATACCGATTAGCCAATAGTTAAAGGAAAGCGTCACTGCATAGCCGATTAGTTGACCTTTATGCCCTCTTTCAACCGTACTCACATCCATATCTTCATCACATCTTTTATTAAAGCAGAAAGGATCTCAAAGATATTATTACCATTATTATCAAGTCACTAGTTTGAAATTCATAGACCTTTGGATCCAATCATTTATCACTTTCATAATTTAACATAAACGCCGACCAGTACAATGGATAGACACCTGCTACATATCCTTAACTGAAAACCCAACAGCATTTAGTTGAAATCATAAGTGTGTATCACTGAAGAGCCCTATTTAGGGCGAAACAACTTGTTAATGCTAAATTGACTTTTATTATAATAATATTTTCTGTATTTCCCATTGAATTAAAAAAAACGATACTGCACCTCAACAGTTGTCATTCCATATAGAGCAGAGACATCAGACGATATCAGAAGAGTATTTAATAGGCTCGACATCAGAGCTATCTTCAAAACATCAAACTGACACACTACAAAGCAACTAATCCGAGTTTGACCACGGTAGGAACATCGTCTAGACATGTTCTTTTTGGATACAAAGTTCCGGTTTAGTCGATCTTATTGCAACAGCTTCAGCTATGTGTAGGAGACGTAAACAAACTGTACATGATAATAACTTCGGAATTCGGTATATATCCCAGAAAGCTGTGTTGACATCGATGCGATGTCCAGTATCGACTACGACCAGACGCTGTTTCTACCGTGGCCAAACTCGGATTGATGATTCTTCTTTCTCCAAGAGTGCTTCTTACCCCTAACGTTCATTTTAGACTTTTACGATTTCATGACCTTTCTTATGATTTTATTACATTAGGTTTAAGTAGTGCTTTTCTAACTTGTTATCGTATTCACAAAATCCTGTTCTTTCCACTTCATTATATTCATTATTATTACTTGACAATCATTCATCAATAGTACTTGTTATTTTGGACTGATGATTCTTCTTCTCACCAAGAGTGCTCCTTCCCGTTAACCCTCTTTGTTTTTTGCCTTTGCTTATCATTACAATTATTATTATTATTCGTCATAATGTATGCCCTTCATGCAAACATTCTTTCAAGACTATCGAATTTTCCATTTATACTATCCTTACTTATTATTAGTGATACTATCTCTTTTCTCAATATATGCCTCCACCAGTTTCTTCGTTTCACACATTCGTTATTTCATTATGAACCTCTCATTGCAGTCTTACTATCTCGTGTTTAATACAGACCACTTTGAACTCGCCACTCATCTGACACCTTTTATTCAATCGACGAAGTCGTGAAGTTACAAAGACTGAGATGGTTAGGACATGTGTTACGTATGCCAAGCCATCGCCTCCCTCGACGAGCAATGTTGGCGGTCAGGCTGGAAAAAAGCTAGCGGCGGTCAAACAAAAACTTGGCCTCACCAGTCAATGAAATCCACAACAGTTGGTCTAAGCCAGAAACGTAGGAAGGTGCATACTTCCAGGCTGGGGTCCTCGGGACGGTAAAAATCTATGGTTGGAAACAATTGGTGACATGGCTCAAAATCGTTCTCAGTGGCGCAGATGCATCCACTCCTTGTGACCTATGATCTCCAATGAAACTGTTCTGTTTTTCTTTATTACTCCTTTGTCTCACACCTCTACTCACTGTTTCTATTATGCTTTTCTTGTACTTTCTTCTCTTGCTTCGCGTGCTATACGGAGTGTGGCGACTTGAACTTCTGCACATTTGTGCAAAGTTCTATGTCGAAAACAGACAGAGAGACAGACAGACAGACACCTTTTTTATTACCTTGAACTGGCCTGACAATTTTCCTACCCCACACTATACAAATCTACTAGGACTAATCACCATATACCCCAATGCCGAAATTTTTTTTCAACTGTTAGTATGGATCTTGGTTTGGACATGTATAACTCTTTAATTCAGTTTTAGATTTTCCTGTCGATTGATTGGAACAAAGTGCTCGGTCCCAAGTTGACATGTTGGCTCCTTGTGCAGATGTTTCGACATTGCCTGGGCATGTAATTAGAAATTGCCTGGTAGATGGTGACTAGTAGTGGAATCCAAGATGCTCATTTCACCGGTCCTATTTGCGACATGTTAGTGGCTAGATGTACCTGCATTCCGCAGTGAGTGATCATGTCCCCACCTGGGCTCGAACTCCCTGCTGATAGTTTCAAACGACAAAGCGTTATTCACTAGACCACTTGGGCCATGAGAGAGAGAGCCACTTCTTGTGCATTTGTACAAGAAGCTGACAGATATGTCAACCCGACACCGAGCACTTCAGTGCAACCAATTGACGGGAAAATTTGAAATTTAATTAGGCATGTAACTCTATTGACTTTTCTCTTGTTATAATTCTCTAATTGTGATATATTTTAATAATTTATTTATTATTATTTTATCTAATGATGTTATTGTATTTTATTTTCCTTGTTTTCTCCATTTTTATACATACAGTTGAATGACAGTGAAATCTGTAGTATGACCAGCTCATCATATCGACATAGTATAACTCATCCATATATCACCACCACTACCACCACAACTACTACTGCCACAATGATAACAACCACTACGACTGATACAATTCCACCGAGTATAAATGATCCTATGGCGGATACAAGCGTGAACGATAACTCTGTTAGACTACATTGTTCTAAACTATTCTGTCGTTGGATTGACTATTGTCCATTTTTATGGAGTCAAAAAACAGCAGCAGCAACAACAACAACACCGTCTGCATCATCGATAGTAGTTCGGCAGAAATCCTCCTCTGGTAATAATAATAATAACAATGATTGGATAACGATAACGACGACCTCAGCGCCAATACCAGCGACAACACCGGCGGCGATGAGTATTACAGTTACCCAATCTTTAGATACTGTACATTATCAGTCAATGTTACAAAGGGGACAACAACAACATCAGGGGATTGAACAACAAATAGTTAATAATAATAATAACAATAGTAGTCATGATAATGGTGATCCAATAGATGAAAGAATTGAAGAATGTTATATTCCTGAGCCTGTATTTAACTTATTTTTATATTTAGCACAAAAAGGTGTTTATGCTAAAGATTTATTTCGACGACCTGGGAATATCGCTCAAATAAAAGTAAGTGTAGTATGTAGTGTTACTGTTCATCTGTCACTTATGTTTCTTTTTTGTTATTGTTGATGTGTGTTGTATAACATGCTGAGGGATATTGAGGTTAGATGCAGAGTGTAAGCGTAAGAAGGTAAGTCGATTGATAAGGTAGGGAAGGTGAATTGTTTGAGATAGTTGGGACATGTAAAGAGCATGCCGAGCTGTTGGCTTCCTCGACTATCACAGGATGACATTGATAAAAGAGTTAGGAGTGGTTAGGAGTTAGAGAGTCATCAAATTATAAAGTCTTTCATAGTTGCTTTGAGCTAACCATATAGGGAGGTGTAGACTGACGACTGGATGTTGTCCTTAGGGGTTGGTGATCTGGTTGAAAACGTTCCCACTGGTCTGGATTCATTCACTCGTTGGGATCTCTTATATCCTTAAAACCTGCATGTTTTTTTCATGCTGTTATTCTTTGTCATGTACATTTCCGCTTTTTATAGTTTTCTGAATCCCATTTTTCCCTCTTTCTTTCCATCTTTGTGTACCACACAGAGTGTCAGCAAGTCAGTTGATGTCTTTCTCGTATGAACTGCTCTCTTTTTTTGTGTGTGTTTATATGCTATGGCTTTGGATAAAAGAAAAACTACAGCTGTCTCTCTGGTGAAATGGTTCACAGACTTGTCTTGCAACCTGCAGGTCCTAAATTCCATCTTCGAGAAATTTAGTCATCGGAACGTACTTCTGAAGAGTCTTGAAATTGGACGAAATAGATATTCCGTACTCCATGTTTTTCAGTGGTGCCTTAACTAATGTTCAGGTCTGATAAGCATGTAATCTGTCATTTTATTGAGCCAATGTATTTATGCCACCAGTGTGTTCTGATGATATTGATTGCTTGTGAATCAACATTACATTGATGACTTATGTAGTTTTATTGCAATAGACAGTGGCATTGGTTTTATCTCATAAGATAATCTACTTCAATGTTCAATAGGACTGATTCGAATATCTAAGAATGTATTTGTCTTCTAGGTGTCTGCTAAGCGTTTTCCAATAAGTACCAATTATTCAACAGGATACCACTTAAGACTTTTTGTCAAAAATGAGTAGCCTAAAATAAGCGCACTTCAGTTTGAATATTTAATAAATAAATAAAATAATAAATATATTTAACACTGAGTTGAATTACTTTGCTTTTCAATGTATATCTCCTTGTGAATCCGTATTTGTTTGATGATCATTGAAGTCCAAGTAACACTGAACACCTTTCCCATCGTAAATCCGAATACGCTGGTAGTGTGAACCACCAAGGAATGGATTTAGGATCTTCAAGTCGTGAGACGATCAGATTTACCATTGATTCGTTGATTTACAATCTAACAACCCATTTTATTTGTTAATTCTGTCAACCCTGGATAAAGAACTAGTCGGTAGATATACTCTGCTCGTAAATTAAGGCGTATAGGTTTGACTCCTTCAGCCAGGCGTTTGAAGTGAATGCGGAGTAGAACAACGCTGCCTATTATTACCGATGACATTCCTTATTGTGATGGACTGAATTATGCGTCAGACTATGCATGGGAGTGAGAAGACATGAATACGCTGCACCGCCGATAAGAAAAAATATCAGAAGATCTGGATTTTGTGAATGGATGGTTTATGTTTAATGTAATACAAACACAAGAAGACTTGCAAGCGAAAATCAACAAGCTCGCAGAAAAAGCAGTCAGGTAGCGAAGACAGGACTCATCCAGGTGAACACCTTTGAAGACGGAGGTGATGAAAATAACCAGCACCGACAACCAGCAGCAATCACCATCAACGGGAGAGATTTCACAGAGGTCATTTCTTGGCTTCACTTATCTCTCCAGGAAGCATGGTTTCAACCACAGGAAATTGGACAGCACGAATGAAGTTGTCAAAGCCAGCCAGTCAGCCAGCCAGTCATAACCTTTACACGGGTCAGAAAGTTGTCCAGTGTGTCACGAAGAGGATTCCCAATAGAGCCGGTTACAAACTTTCATCAACAACTGCCACCTTTACTGGCTCCATACTGAAGATCAAATGGCCGGTTGGCGGGCCAGAAAGAATTAGCAACGAGGAACTCTGCCCAGAGCCGATCGCTCAACAATTATGTGGGTGAAAATGGAAATGGATCGGGGATAGGTTGAGGAGACTGTGGAATGACATTGAACGCAATGCAGACCATCAATCGATTGGCATCAGATTAGGAAGCGACTAGTGGGTCTTTGGTGAAAGGGTGATATGGATGAGATAGTGTGAGTTGTAGGCGAAGATGAGGGATTACGGGCAATCATGGACCCAGCTGTGAATAGGACGGCAGAAGATAGAAGAATGGGGAGTTGTGTTGTTGAAGCCAACCCTATGTTCCATGCGAAACCAAAGGGAATAGTAATAATAATAATAGTTTCGACACCTGCTGAAGTTGTGGATACATACTACCGAGAAATCCCAAAAAACGTTCACGTTGACAAACAACTCTTCATCGCTCTTCAGTTCTGTTGTTTTCTAAGCGATTTCACTTTGAAATTCTCCCCTTTAAAGTAACAAATTAAGTTTACAGCCAATATCAAATAATGCCTTATTTCTGAAAGAATCACTTTCTGATTGAAGGATACTTCCGTTAAAAATGACCTTATATAACCTTTCTTCAGGACACGATACTAAGTTGGGTTGTTTTTTTTCTTCGCCTTAATGCAGATGAATCATTTTATCAGATTACTTTAATGAAGTTTATTTTTTTTCACCCACTACAAGTCTAATGACATTACGATTATTTGAAGTGATTCTCATACTGACCAATATCCAACTTACCTATATTTTTACTAAAGAAAATCAAGTAGAACAACAACTAGAGAGTGAAAAAAAAGAATATTTTGTTTTCAAGTGGGTTGGTTTGCTGGGATTTGATTATTGTCAAGTTAGAATGCGACCTGATGAATCAGTTGGTGAATCATTGAAAACCAAGGTGCCGGGGGGGGGGAGGAGAAGTCTGGTTGCGAAATGTAAAGAATTGGTAATTTGAAAAATATTCAAGTCCTTACTAACCATAATAACTGAGAATTTATTGGTCACCAGTGACTTATTACAGGAGCAAATTTTTTGGAGTTCTTAGTGAGAAACCGAGACCAATAAGGTTCACCAAGTCAGGTGTTAGGACTGTGGTGGCTGTCAATATTGAGAATTGATAGAAGTTAAAATAAACGAGTTACTGAATTACAAACCATAAAGGGAATAGTCAGCCACACAATAGAGTCGGAGAGGGTTAAGATTCTAAGAAGCAATCTATGTAGGTGGGTGGAGAGAGAGAGATGGAATACTGAAACCTGCCTGGTTCATTGAGTCTACACCCAACACATGCAACAGAAATGACTCAATGCAAATAACAGAAATATGTATGGAAGATATTATTACCACCAGTCGGTCAAATCAGAGGAGGTTAATAAATAATCTCAAAATTCTATTTCAATTCAAGCACATCACAACATTCTAACAAGGTGCTTATTATAAATATAAAAACATTCGTCTTATTTTGATTTGACACTAGTAACCAGTGTGATATGTCTAGTCCTTCGTATGTTTTTTGTGCGGACTGAATTCTACATCAGTCAAGTTTGAAATGTGGCCACCATTCCACTGGGTAGCTCTCCATCACGGTGCACATTGATCTGATGATATTAGATGGTTTGAGGCAATCGGCCACAGGAAGCCTTGCCTGACCTAGGTTTCGTGCTAGTTGGCACTCGTCAGCAAGGCGTATCTGCAACCAGCTTGAAGGAACTCATGTCCCTTCTGTGATTCAAACCCGCGTCACCCAGTGCTGCAGTCTTCTTTCCCATATGATTGTAAATGATCAATTTTTTCTCCCTTCACGTTCCCCAGTGGAACATAGGGCTTCAAGCTAGTGGCTTGAAATTTCTGTAGCAGTGTTTATTTTAACAGGATGGGGTTGCTAGCCTCATGTCCAACTTTTCCTTTTTACCAGCTTTATCATTGGCTTAGCGAGGCAAAGGGGTACGTCGGCCAGGGATCGAACCCCGGACCACGTGCATGGTCGGCGAGCGTCCTAACCGCTATGCCACCGACGCAATTTTTCGAGGTAGCTATTTTCAATCAAGCTATCATATACAATGCTTAATTCATCATCACTTACTTCTTCTGAGTATATAGCTCTAACTCTGTCGCTGAAGGTCATATTATTTTTGAATGTACATTATCCTATATTGATTGATGTTTAAATATCTAGTCGATTCCACACATGTATATAAATGAAGGAAAAAAGTTGTTTGAGTAACTTGATAGGATTATGAACAATAGATCCTGCTCGAAACCTGGCCATCAGTTAATATTACTTACTGTATAACACTACACTGTGTGATTTATAAAAATAAAATCGTATCCATAATGGAGTTATACTCTACCTGAATACCCAAGTTTTATACTTATATCAAGAATAGTCAATGGTTGTGGGTCGGATTATATGTGGGCGCTTAGTGCTGAAGTATCCCGAACTAAGACGAAACACCTATCCAGTACTCTCTGGTTATCGATGATTCACTAACTGCTATACTAGCTTTAACATTTCTCTGAGGGGAGGGATAAGTTGATGTTTTGGATAACAGTTTTTTCTCTGTTTGATAATGAACAAGTGTTGGTTTGTAGGGATTTGACTGTCGTTAAGTTTGTTCACGAATTTATTTATATCAGTTGAAGAATTATTGAGAACCAAGGAGTACTGATACTGGGCTGTTGTTTCCTCCTAGTTTGAAACTCTTCTACAGTTCACACTCATAAATCTCTTCACAGGCGACCGATTCCACAGCCTTTAATCTTAGATGGGATCCCTTTTAACCATTCAACAAATGAGACAGAATCTCCTAGTTGGCGATACTTAACAATGGATTGGGATAAAATTTACAAATAAGAGGACGAGTATTACGACTATTGTTGTTTATGGGGTAAGATTAGTGAAATTATGATCAGGTAAATATAGATGAAGG